AGCAGCTGAGGGTTTGAAAGGCAAATCTTAACTATGGGTTTGTTTGCTTTTGATTTCTGATATTAAGGAAAAAAATTCCAAGGTGTTTCACAAACACCTTCCTATACCCCCTCATATGTAAAGCTTTATAAAACATGTAGAAAAGATACACCACAGATGTTCTACTTGGCATTCTAGATAAAACTGCCACTTGAGACTGTGGAGTGAAAAGGCCAGGTGCTTTGGAAGTCAAACTATCAGAAATACCTTTTCCATTCCACGGAAGGACACAGAGTACAGGGGAGACGGACCAGAAGAGAAAACCAAGAACTCTCAAGTCACTCATCAGCAGGGCTAGAAATGAGCTCAAATTAGGCAGTTTTGTGGCTCTTCCTCGGGAATAGCATTCTACTTTTAGCCCAAGAACCCCGATCTGCAAAGCATGATGCTTTGCCAAGTGTGTTCCTTGGTACCCTCAGCATCTCCCTGTTAGCCTTGTGATAGGTGGAAGGTGAGATCTCAGAAAGGGAGGAAGAAAGTATGAGGCCTCTGATCTGGCCCCACTTATTGGATCTCATCCCAAACTGAAAGTACTGCTTCACTAAATTCCACTTTCCCAGACTACTGCAGAGGTAGTGTGGGGAACTAACCAAGATCCCTGAGCTAAAATGTTCCACACTATCTACTTACGTTTTTTTAGGGGTTTTTTGTTTGTTTGTTTGTTTGTTTGTTTGTTTTTTAAGAGGGAGAAAAGGAATGCATACAAGCAGTGAATAGTGGGCTAGATTCATTGGGTGGCCATTGTCCTTGGCCCCTAAAACTTTGCTGGCTAGTCTCAGAAATTAAGGAATGCCTACCCTCATGCAGCCCTTGAAGCTCACACTGCCTTCAGAAAAAAACAAATGAACACCTACCCCAATTCAACAAACCATCTGCATAGAGAACCAGAACCCAGAGGTCTGGGGAGGGAGTGATCTGTGTTAAGCTTGTGCCCTCCCTGGACAAAAACTAAAGGGGTAGTTCTGCAGGCAGGGTGGAGGCCCTCACAAGTCCTCACTAGGGATAAAAATCAATGGAGTCTCTTTCTCCATTGCTCTGAATTTTGGCATATCTGTGTGTGGCAACAGCCTCATGAAACTTCACCATCAACACCATTCTTAGCTCAGATAAAGCAGAAATAAGGTCACTTCTATTGCCCCTAAGGTTTGTCCCTGCTGGTTGTTCCCTCTGCCCATCACATTTTTGGTTTCTATTAACTTTGAATGCTTTCCTTTAAAGCAATAATGACTAAAATGAAATAAAATAATGCTTTCATAATGAGATATTAAGAGAAAGAACAAAAAACATTTGTCACTACATTCTGAAAATAGGCAACTTAAAAGGGAAAGAACTAAGCTTTATCCTATCTTTTCCATATGAACTGTTTAAGAAAACAATAGTACTTTTTTATAAAATAATTTTAGCTAATAAATCTTAAAAAGTACAAAATCACTACTTTGCATTTCAGTGTTAAATCATTGATTTAGACAGAGATCATCAAAGGATGATACTGTTGCAAGAAGGTTTCAGAGGGTATTTTAAGATGGAGGGATCAGGCTGTCACAACCTGACCCATATTCTTAATTTGTTTATTTTTATTTTAATCATTCAACAAGACAATGACATGAGGATAAAAGGGAAAAGAAATTGCTTTAGATTAAGACACAAGATATAACAATCCATTCCCCTTGTTTCGATCTTAATTAAAACAAACCAGTTCTAGAGATAATTTTTTTAGATAATCAAAAAAATCTGAATATGGACCAAGGAATTGTTATTTATTAGGTATGATAATGGCATTGAGGTTCTGTAAGAAAATGTTCATATTTGTTAGAGATGGATACTGAGGTATGTAGGGGTGAAGTGATATGAAATCTGCTTTAAAATAATAAATCAAAAAAGAGAAAAAGGCCACAAAAAACCCCGAATAGCCTCAGCAATGTTAAGAAAGAAGAACAAAATCAGAGATACCATATTACCTGATGTAAAACTTTACTACAAGTCTATAATAATCAAAATGACATAGTACTGGCATAAAAACAAATGTATAGATCAATGGAACAGACTAGAGAGCCCCAAATAAACCTACACTTTTGTAGTCAATTAATACTTGACAAAGGAGGCAAGAACATACAATATGGTAAAGACAGTCTATTAAATAAATGGTGTTGGGAAAATTATACAGATACATGCAAAACAATGAAAACTAGACCACTTCCTTTCACTACACAAGAACAAACTCAAAATGGATTAAAGACGAGTAAACTCAAAATGGTGTTAGACTGAAAACCATAAAAATCCTAGAAGAAAACATAGGCAGGAAAATTTTGGACATTTCTCATAGCAATATTTTTTCTGATATATTTCTTCAAACAAGGGAACAAAAGAAAAAAAATGAACAAATGGGATTACATCAAACTAAAAAGTTTTTGTACAGCAAAGGAAACCATCAAAAAACCCAAAGAGGCAGCATACTAAATGGGAGAACATTCGCCAATGATATATCTGTTAAGGGTTTAATATCCAAAGTTTATAAGGAACTTTCTTACTACTCAACACCCAAAAAAGCAAACAATCCAATTAAAAAATGGACAGAGGATCTGAATAAACACTTCTCCAAAGAAGACATACAGATGGCCAATAGACATATGAAATACAAATTAAAACTACACTGTAGCCCTGGCTGGCATAGCTCAGTGGACTGAGCTCGGGCTGCGAACCAAAGCATTGTAGGTTCGATTCCCAGTCAGGGCACATGCCTGGGTTGCAGGCCATGACCCCCAGCAACCGCACATTGATGTTTCTCTCTCTCTCTTTCTCCCTCCATTCCCTCTCTAAAAATAAATAAATTTTAAAAATCTTAAAAAAAATAAAAATGAAACTACTGTGTAATATTACCTCACACCTGTTAGAATGGCTATCATCAATAAATCCACAAATGCCATGTGCTGATGAGGAAAAAAGGAAACCCTAGTGCACTGTTGATAGGAGTCCAGATTGGTGCAGCCACTATGGAAAATGATACGGAGTTTCCTCAAAAGATTAAAAATGGACCTGCCTTACGATCCAGTTATTCCACTTTTGGGGATTTATCTGAAAAATCCAAAACCCTAATTTGAAAGAATATATGCACCCCTATGTTAATTGCAGCATTATTTATAATAGTCAAGCAATGGAACCAACTCAAGTGCCCACCTTTGGAGCAGTGGATAAAAAAAGCTTTGATATATATATAATGGAATATTACTTGGCCATAAAAAGTGTGAAATCTTACTATTTGTGGTGGCATGGATGGACCTAGAGGGTATTATGCCTAGTGAAATAAGTTAGAGGAGGACAAATACCATATGCTTTTACTTATATGTGGAAAATAAAGAACAAAATAAATGAATAAACAAAATTGTAAAGACTCACAGGTGCAGAGAGAGAACTAGTGGTTGCCAGAGGGGAGGGGCGTTGGGGCACTGGGTGAAAGAGATGAAGGGACTACGAAGCACAAATTGATAACTACAAAATAGTCATGGGGAAGTAAGTAAAGCATAGGAAATATAGTCAATAATATTGTGATAACTAATTGTATAGTACCAGGTGCAGAACTGGAAATATTCAGGGGAACCCTATGTAAAGCATATGGTTATCTAATCACTCAGCTGTACACCTAAAACCAGTACATAATAAAGAGAGAGAGAGAGAAAGGAATAGATGATGCAAGTGTTATAAAGTCCTGATAATTCATGTTATCTAGAAGATGACAATGTAGGGGTTAACCATACTATTCTTTCTACTTTTGAATATGTTTGAAAATATTCAAAAACATTTTGGAACAAGTTGCAGAAAACATATTCCATTTTTATAAAATTCAAAGCTAGTGTGGTAGGCTCTATGATGTGCTACCTAGGTAGATCCCAGCCATCAGCCCCTTCAGAGACTGCCTCAACTGCAGAGTGCTTTCTTGCCCAAGGTCATGCCCTTCCTAAGGTGGCTAGGTCTGATGACTGATTAATGTGGTAGTTTAAAGCCTGGGCCATTTTGGCCCAACTTGGGACAACTCCAAAAGTGCATTGTTGCTCCAGAGTGCCCTATTGGGTCAGCTAAGGCAGTTGTTGGGCCTGCATCACAACCTGACGCATCTGTCTGCTCGATCCTGCTTCCATACCCTCTCTTTCCCAGATGCTGATCCCTTAATAAACATTGCACATGCTAAACCCCGTCTCAGAGTCTACTTCCCTGAGAACCCTATTTGTGACAGTTTAATGGGTAGAATTATGTCCCTCTAAAATTCATATGTTGATGTCCTAACCTCCAGTGCCACAGGATGTGATCTTATTTAGAGACTATGTCTCTAATGAGGTAACCAAGTTAAAGTGAGGTCATTAGGATGGGCCCTAATCCAATAACTAGTGTCTTATAAAAAGGGGAAATTTGAACACAGAGACAGTCATGCTAAGAAGGAAGATGATACAAATAGACACAGGGAGATGATGGCTATCTACAAGTCAAGGAGCAAGACCTGGAATAGCTTGCTCCTTCACGGTCCTCAGAAACAACTAACCCTGCCAACACGTTGATCTTGGACTTCTAACTTCCAGAACTGTGAAACAATAAATTTCCATTGTTTAAGGCATACAGTTTGTGGTACTTTGTTATAACAGTCCTAGCAAACTAATACAGACAACAAGCATAACTAAACACTTTTGTCCAGGGATGCATATATATGTATCAAAGATACCAAGAAAAGCAAGACAATGAGAAGCACATTCTTGACTTCCGGCAAGATGGAGGCAAAGGTGGATGCACCGTACCTCCACGCACAACCAAGATTAGAACAACAACAATTTAGAGGCAGAGAAGCACATTCTTCTGTGGGGGAGACAGGGGGTGCCATACAGGGAAACCACAGGGAGCTTCGTGATTTACCTCTTGAGATAGTGGTGGGTTCATGAACACTGGTTTTATTATTATGATTTAAAATGAATTTTATTTGCTATGATGTCATAATTTGCATCTTACTCTGTTCTCAGTGACAGTTGCCTGCTGTCAGTAAGCTGGTTCAGAAGGGTGATGAAAATATTTTTTTTCTTCTTAAAGATTTTATTTATTTATTTTTAGAGAGAGGGGAAGGGAAGGAGAAAGAGAGGGAATGAAACATCAATGTGTGGTTGCCTCTCACACCCCCCCCCCAACTGGGGACCTGGCCCACAACCCAGGCATGTGACCCAACTGGGAATTGAACTGGTAACACTTTGGTTCGCAGGCCCGTGCTCAACCCACTGAGCTATACCAGCCAGGGCGGGTGACGAAAATTCTTACTGAGAAAAAAAAAGTATTTTATATTACTTATATCTTTTGCTTATATAAAATATTTTATAACTTTTAAAAAGGTCATATTGTCCTGACTAGTGTGGTTCAGTTAGTTGGTCATTGTCTTGCAAAGCGAAAGGTTGCCAGTTTGATTCCAATCAAGGCACATACCTGGGTTGCTGGTTCAGTCCCTGGCTGGGCAGGTTGGAGTGCATACAAGAGGCAACCAGTTGATGTTTCTCTCCCTCTCTTTCTCCCTCCCTTTCCTTCTCTCTAAAAATAAAGACAATCTTTTTTAAAAAGATCATGTAAAAATCTGTCTGAATTGTGGGAATGTGTGCAAAGTGTTCTTGCAAAGTTTGGCATTACAAGACAAGGAAGTATGGACAAACACAGAAATCTATTCCCTTTATAGGGATTGAAGGAGATTTTCTTTGGTAATATTAACTTCTGGTCCTTCTGGGCCCCTTACTTGGCCGGTGGAATGTGATAGAGGGAGGAAAAACCCCTGCTTTCATTTTTAATGCCGCAGGAAACATGTTGCTCCTATGACCGCAACGTTAAATCAGCTGGAATGACTAATTTATATAGTATGGAGAATTAATTCAGCAGATCTCTTTAATTCCAATATTGACTTCAGTAGAAAATAATGTTCTTGACCTCAGTCTACATTTTGCTGGAAAATAGGATTAATGTTTACCTCAGAATAGTAATGTGAGGCTTAATGTTTCAGTGGAGGTTTTTCATGAAAGGTGTTTAAGAAATCCAACCTGTTTGGGCTGCAACTCAGATTGACTATTTTCTTGTTTAGTTAAACAGGAACTCTATTTTGTTCTTCCTTTAATACCGGCCTGGTGCCTGGTACTCCCTCGGAGGCCAATAGTCCTGGCCTTCTCACCCTTTGGGGATGTTTACTAGAGTTCTCGGAGCCATTGCCAGGTAGGTCACTGCCCCAGCTCCTTGTGTGGTGTTGCCTCACTGAAGGGTATGCCTTCCTGGCTGCTCAGGTAACGAGCCCTTCTTCTACAATGAACACTTTCCATGCACAGGGGGATTGCTTAGGGCTGAGCAGCTTCAAAAAGGCAATTAGCATAAAGTGGGAAAGCAGTCCAGCCTCAGAACCTGGCCACCAAAGGGACTGTAACTCAAATTACACATCTAAATGTTGGGAGTAGGGAAACAATGAAAAGGAATAATTGCTTAGTGGACATTTAAAGCAGCAATCATGTCTCTTTTTTTAATCCAAAGTAAAGGACACACTGAAGCTCTTCTCAGAAAACAGGTGGGATGGAGGAGATTTATTTATGACTTACTGGAAGCACAAAGAGAAGCTTTTATTGTTGATAGCTAGGCTGGGTGGACGCCAGGAGACATCCCAAAGGAGCTGCGCTGCCAAGCACTGACACACAAAGAAAGCTGACCTAGTCCTTTTTCATGCTGACTGCCTGCTCAGAAATTACATCAGAGGACAGTATTGAAAGACCTAGTATGGTTTAGAACAATTATGGAGACTTTAGAGAAATCCTCATTCTACGGAACCATTTTAAGGGAGATAGAGAAGCAGTATATTCATTAGCTTTGTGTGGAACTACTGCTCAGCTCATGTACGGAAATTGCCCTGAGACAGTTCCATGGCTAGCCATTCAGTGTCAGCATCCACTCTGTTCATTTGAAAGTAAAAATTTTAATTCAAATTCCACTAAATGCTTTTTAGACAACATCAGCGGGAAAAACTGTAAGGAGCACATCATTGTAACCAATATTTTTAGGCTTGGAAATATTTTTGAAATTCTGAACTGAAATCAAAGGGAGAAGGGGACATGGTGTGACTGCTGGGAAGGTTTGGCGGGGAGAAAGGGGAGGAGGGGAGAGAGAAAGGTGGATGGGAAATAGTAATCTAAAGTGCAGAATAATGCATAGATTTTCTTCGACTCAACAGAATCATAAGATACCAGGACTTAAAGAGCTTTAGAGACAATATCCCTGTTTCTCACTCTCATCTTACTGATGAGGAAACTTGGGCCAGAAAAGTTCAGTGACCTATCCAAAGAGGCAACACCAGGTTGGTGACGGAACCAAGCTGGATGCCAGGTGTGCTCACTCTTCTCCTGATATCTCTAGCCTCTGCCCATATATGCATACGATTCGCACCTTGCACAACAGCTGTGGCCTCTCATCCATCACTTTAAGAGGTGCTGGACAAAGGGAACCATCAGCAGCAGGTGGGATTGTGATTCAGTGCAATTGCCTTCTAGCTACGGTGCCTTGCATCTTCACATCCTAAAGTAAATAAATCAGTTCCATTTTCCAATCAGCCCTTACATTTTAATCTTTCATTTGGAAAATATGACACTTAGATGTAAAAGAAGAGGAAAAGAACAAAGAATTTTTTTTACCAAGCAATTCACATTCTGTGATCTTTTGTGATAGTATGGATGACTGTCTAGGCAGTAGCAGCTGCTGTAGTCTCCTATTCCTTCCCCATAATGATAATTTATTTTCTCCATAGCAATCTGAGTCCCAAGATTTTACCAGGATGCTTCCAGGGACTACTTGGACTCAGGCTTAGGCTCTTCCAGATAAAGAGGTTGAAGCCATTTCATTTGTAGCATACTGGGGGAGGGGCATACATGGTAATTGGTATATTATAAAATATAATAATAGTGTGTGTCTAGAGCTCTGTCTTGGGTCTTTAATTATCTTCTCACCTTGATTATTGTCTTGTACTTTACTAGACATACTGTCGCCTCAGCTACCAACAAGCCAATTTATGTTTGTTTTTTTGAGGTATATACAATCAAACACAGAAAACTACACAAATGGAGACTCTTAGCAGACAACTCGTACTTGACACCCAGAATACTCGAGGCACCTGAATTCTATCTTGCCATTTAATACCCATCCCTTGTTTCCTTAGGAAGTGAAGGAGATAATCCTCTTGATTTCCTCACTGGGCCCCAGGACCCAGGTGATGGAACAGATGAAAGCAATGATAAGATCCTCCTCAAAACTTGGAAAGTAAAATTGTCCTGATAAACATTTAGAAATAATTATCGTCTGTACAAACGCACCCTTTATGCCCAAACACAAGAGTTTCAGGTTTTTTAAAAGATTTTATTTATTTTTATTTATTCTTAGAGAGAAGAGAAGGGAGAGACAAAGAGAGGGAGGGAAACATGGATGTGTCAGAGAAACATTGATCGATTGCCTCTCGCATGCGCCCTGACCAGGCCACAACCCAGGCATGTGCCCTGACTGGGAATCAAATCAGCGACCCTTCACTTTGTGGGATAACACCCAATCAACTGAGTGACATCAGTCAGTGCAAGCTTCTTTTTTTAAAATTTTCACTTATTAATTTTTAGAGAGAGAGAGGAAGGGAGAGAGAAGGAGAGAAACATCGATTTGCTGTTCCACTTAACTTATGTATTCATTGTTGGTTCTTGTATGTGCCAGGATCAAACTGCCAACCTTAGTGATCTGGATGATGCTCTAACCAACTGAGCTACCTGGCCAGGGCTCAGATTCTTTTAGACATCTAAAAGAGATGCATATGCAACCTACTAAATGAACCAAAAATAATTTTTAGGCATCTACTCAATGTTCAATGATATGCTAAGTAATATAAGAGATAATATATAGTAATAGCTAATGTTTATTGAGTTCTTACAATGTGTCAGGCATCTGCTGGGCACTGCACATAAATTGCTTCATGTAGTCATACAGCCACCCCATATAAGATGGGCCTTTTTATTATCTCCATTTTAAATATTTGGAACTAAGTCATAGAGAAATTAAGCCATTTGTCTAATGTCACATAGCTAACAAGCTGAAGACCTGGGATTTGAGCATAGTTTGATACCAGAATTTAGGGTCTTAAAGAATATAATTCATGGTTCCCACCCTCAATAAATTTATAATCTAGTTGGGGAAACATGACTAACTCACATTAAAACAGCTGTAAACTATGATAGATGAGCACATATAATTAAGTGCTAAATTGGATGCTATCAACTATGAATGTTTCAGGAGTTCAGAGGCACAGGGAAGCATAGACCTGGCAGGCAGGATTTCATGTAGCTGAGTTTTGAATGGTCCCTGAGATGTGTGTAGGGAAAGGACTGCCCAGGCAAGGGGGTCAAAACAGTGCTAGAAACAGGAGTGAGCAAGACCTGTACAGGAGGATGAAGCAGCCAGCCTGGCCACAGCTGGGGAGAGCCAATGGGAAGGGCTGGACCAGCTCTGAGGACCTTTGAAGCAAAGCAGAGTTTAGGCTTGGTGCATTAGCAAGGAGTCATTAAACGCCTTGGATCAATAAAGCAATATTAGGAAAGGGATGTGTTTGGCAGGATAGAGAGGATTCATCTATCTTATTAAAATTTTAGATGACATAAAGCTTGGAAAAACATACTATGAAATTACTCTAAATTGTTACCAATTCTTGTTCCCAAGTCACTGTTTATTCAGTTTGATCTTTATGATTTATTTATTTATTTTTAATCTTTTTTAAAATTTATTTCTTTTCAAAGAGAGGGGAAGGGAGGGAGAAAGAGAGGGAGAGAAACATCGATATATAAGAGAAACATCAGTTGGCTGCCCCTTGCATGCCCCCAAACCAGGGGCCAGGCCTGCAACCCAGGCATTCTTCCCAACTGGGAATCAAACTGGTGCCCTTTGGCTCACAGGCTGGTGCTGAATCTGCTGAGCCATACCAGGCAGGGCTTTATGATTTATTTTTACATTTATTTCACATCAACAAATTCTACCAATTTTGTCTCCTTA